GCCCCGCCTCAGGGGCTCTGGGCAGACAGCAGGCAGCCGGTGCACAGGCCCGGGGTGCCAGGTGCGTTTGCTGCCTTGCTGGACTCCCTGCCCTCCTGTTGGGAGCCCTTAGGCCCCACCCCTTCACACGCGTACACACACGTACTCACGCACACATGTACTCACGCACACGTACTCATGCACACACACACATACTTGCACACACATGTACTTATGCACACACACGTACTCGTGCACACACACGTACTCATGGAAACACGTACTCGCGCACACATACTCATGCAGACATACACATGCTTGCACACACATGTACTTATGCACACACATGTACTCACGCACACACGCACTCACACACATTACTCATGCACACACATACTCGTGCACACACGTACTCACACACACGTACTCATGCACACATGTACTCATACGCACACACATACTCATGCAAACACACACGTACTCGCACACACGTACTTATGCACACACATACTTATGCACACACACGTACTCACGTACAAACACATGCACATACTCATACATGTGCTCACACACACGTACTCACACACACATGTACTCTTGCAAACACATGCACGTACTCACACGCAGGTGCTGCTGTTGTTTCTCTCACATTCTCGCCTCTCATGCCAGGCGCCCCTGGGCCCTGAGCCCCTGGAAGGGCTCTTGCATTGGCCCTTCTGCCAGCTGCATGGTTCTGCGGGGTGAGCAAATAGGTGGCTGGGACCCCGTTTCTACCGTGGGAACCCCAGCAATCGCCCAGCCCCAGCCCACCAAGCCCAGGCTGCACCACTGTGAGGCGAAGTGAGGCCTCAGGTGGGCCATCTCTGGGCCTTGGTCTCCTCGTCTGGAGAACGGGGAAGCAGTGCGTCCCCTTCAGGGCAGCTGACGAGAATCGCAAGAATAGGGCGAGCCAGCTCCCGCGGGCTCCAGACCTGGTCCTCAGCCCGCGTGTGTAAATAAAGTTTTATTGGCGCGCAGCCAGGCCCCTTTGGAGTGTGTCTGTGGTGACTGCTGCCGTCATACAGCGGTGGTGAGTCCTTGGGACAGGCACCATCTGGTCCCCAGAGCCTGCTCTGCTCCCGCCATCTGGCCCTTCTAACCGAGCACTCCGGCAGCCTCCAGGTTCTCGGGGTGCTTGTCTGTACTGTGGGTGGGTGGCTCCCTGCTGGGCTGCCATGAGCCGGGGGAGGGCGTGCTGGGCATGGGTGGGCCAAGCTGGAACTCTGGGTCGTCGTTGTGGAGGTGGTCTGGGGAGCGGGGAGTCCGCTTCGTGTCTCTCACACCAGGCAGTCGAGGGCCTGGAGGCCTGTTTGCATTTTTGGCCTCAAGGAGTCGTCACGTGTGGAGGCAGAGCCCAGAAGGCCAGGCCCTGATCCCGTGTCCTCCCCCGCCATCCTGCCTCAGATGGTGACAGCGAGGACAGGGCGCAGACCTCGTATGATCTGAGACTCTGGGCCGTGCGGCCTTCCCAGGGGTGTTGGGGGGCAGGACAGGGACCCTGAGGCTGGGGGGGTGAACGTGGCATGGGCCCTGCGAGTCCCGAGATTGGGGGCGGGCGCTCGGTGGTCCTTGGCTGCAGTTGTCCCAGGGAACAATGTACCCTGTGTCCTCCGGGTGCAGCTGCCGTGGGGGCGGGAGGCAGCCTGGCTCTCCTCCAGGGCTTCGTCTGCCAGCAGCTGCTGCCTGGCCCCGAGGGTGGCACAGAGCGAGGGCTGGGCAACGCCTGTGCTGCCAGGCCCGGATCCCGGGCAGGGGGGGACCATTCCACCAACACTCACTGAGCAGCACAGGATGCGGGGCTCCGAGCCGAGCATCAGACATACAGTACCTCACTCAGAGCACCCAGATCCTGGGAGGTGGGAGCTGGGTCTCCCCCTCGTGCAGGTCGGGAAATAGGAAGAGAGCGTTTGCTCCAGTGATGTGTTGGAGGTCACAGAGCTTAGAGGCAGCAAAGTGGGCCTGATTTAAACCCAGGGCTGTCCAAGTGAGGACTGAGTGGTTTTCTTAACCTCTTACTCCCTAGAGCGTTCCCAGCACAGCCCTTGTGTAGTCGGCGACAGGAGGAGTCAGCAAATAACTGAAAGCAGGAGTCCCGGGCTTGCTAAACATGTCTTTTAAAGCAACTTAATAGTATTAAGAGTCGATGTTGGAGACCAGCAATTGGCGTAATGGCTATGTTACTGGACTCCCATGTCAACCACAGTTCGCGTCCCGGACCCGGTGGCTTAAACTCATGCCGGGCGCATGTGCATGCATGCCAAAATCCCAAGAGGAGAATGGAGGAGAAGGGATTGCGGCGTGGCCAACCCCCTAGGGGGTGATTTCTCACTTTCTGTCTCTCTGTCTCTGTCTTTCTGGTAAGTGCACGCACCCTATAGCAAAAACCTCTCCCCCCAAAAAAGTTGACGCTGACCCAGCTTCAGTGGCATAGGTGGTAGTGTTCTTACCTACAGTGCAGGAAGCCACATGGCTGACCCGAAACTCGCCAGCTATGCATGCCCAAGACCCTGATGAGCCAAAGGGCTGGGGCAAGAGATTGTATTGAGACCGTCTCTTACATGCACGTGTACACGGCGATCACAAGTAAAATAAAAATAAACCCAATAAAGGAGTAGACCTCAATGGAGGAAAATAAAAACGCAGTGGTTAATAGAAGAGAGTAAACGTGTCCTCATTTCCCTCTGCCTGCGGAGCTCCTTTCATCTCCTCTGTAGCCCATTCTTGTAGTTTTTCTGCGTGTCTGTGTGCATGTGTGTTTTCTGCATAGCCAGGTCTGTGCTGTATGGAAGGTTCTGTAACTTGTTGCTTGGACTGAGCATCATGAATGAAAGCTTGTGGTGGGTCTGCGGAGGCTGGGCCTTGGGTGTACCGAGGCTGTGGGTCTTGGTTCCTATTTATAGAGTTTGGTCTGGTGGGAGGACACAGCTGGGGAAGCGGAGTAAGAAAAATGTGTTATAGGAAAAGGCGGGGAGAGTGTCGTGTCTTAAGGGGAGGTTGGGAAAACACTCGTGCAGGGGGAGTGTTTGAGCCTCCTCTTGTTGTAAAAGATTCTGACCTTCAGAGATGGGCAGCCAGCTGGGAACTGTATGCTTGGCAGGACCACAAGGGCAAAGTCAGGGAGGTAAAAGCTGGGAGTGTTTTCATGACTGGCCCGTGCTCATGACAGATGCTGGTTTGCTGGGGCCTCAAGTCAGGGCAGGAATCTGGGGGTGTATTGGAGGGTTACACACGAAGTGTATCCCTTATGCTAACCCAATGGTCGTTTGTTATCTGCCATAGGACCGCAGCCTGACAGGCAAGCTGGAGCCAGTGTCTCCCCCAAGTCCTCCACACACCGACCCTGAGCTGGAGCTGGTGCCTCCACGGCTCTCCAAGGAGGAGCTGATCCAGAACATGGACCGTGTGGACCGTGAGATCACCATGGTGGAGCAGCAGATCTCCAAGCTGAAGAAGAAACAGGTACCAGCAGAATGGGCTTGCACTGACTCTTCAGTCCAGCAGCAGCAATGACAGTGAAGATGACACTAGTAGTAGTTGTGATGAATGTGCATGGAACGCTGCCCAGATTCCTGTGTGGTAGCTCGTTTTTATTCCCTTTATTAGATTCAAGTGTGTACAGTTTAGCACTGTCCAGTGTCTTGGGCACTTTCCCACATGCTGGCTCATTGTTATGCCCTTTATATTTATTAGATTTGAGTGTGTGCAGTGCAGTGCTGTCAGTGGATTGAGGACATCCCATGTGCTGGTGTGTTTTTATGCCCTTTACGTTTATTAGATTCAGGTATGTGCAGTGCAGCACTGTTCAGTGTGCTGAGCACTCCCCATGTGCTGGCTCATTTTTATGCCCTTTGTATTTATTAGATTTGAGTATGTGCAGTGCAGTGCCATCAGTGTTTTGAGGACTTCCCATGTACTGGTGTGTTTTTATGCCCTTTATGTTTATTAGATTTGGGTATGTGCAGTGCAGCACTGTTCAGAGTGCTGAACACTTGCCACATGCTGGTGTGATTTTATGCCCTTTACGTTTATTAGACGAGAGAATGGTATGGTACAGAGCTGTCCAGTAGGACTTTCTGTGATGATGGACACATCCTACATCTGCTCTAAATTGACACCTGTGCTGCTGCACTAAGTAGCATAGGAATGGTATGTGAGTCTAGATTTCTAGCCATGCTGTCCAGATGGGGACCCTCTTTCTACCCCTTTCTATAAATGTGGGGTGAAGCAGTTGCTTCTCTGTGCTTCACTTTTCTCATCCATAACACGGGGGAAATATTACCTAGCTCTGGGATTTGAACGGGCCTGTTGTCCTAGTGCTGCTTCTCACCAGTTTGGTAGCCTTGGAATGTTCATCGCTTACGACCTTGCAATACGTTTTTTAAAGAATATATACATTTTGGGGGCCAGCAGGTGGTATTGGGGTTAAGGCACTGGACTCCCACATGACTGACCATGGCTCAAGATCCAGACCTGGCTTGCTTTCTCACTTTCTCCCTCTCTCTCTGTGACTCTTTTTGGTGAACACATGTACCCTATAGCAAAATTTAAAAATAAATAAATTAAATTAAATTAAAAATAAAAAAGAATACATGTATTTTTCTGAGCCAGCAGGTTGCATGTTAGCTCAGGTGTTGGACTCTGACATGGCTGACTGCAGGTCGAACCACTTGCTTTCTCACTTCCCTTCTCTATCTCTTTCGGTCTTTTTCTGGTGAGTGCATGTGCTCTATAGCATATGAAGAAATAATGGGGACCAGCAGGTGGCGTGGTGGTTAAGGCGCTGGACACTCCCACATGACCAACCACGGTTCAAGTCCTGAACCTGATGGCTTACTTTCTTACTGTCTCTCTCTCTCTCTCTGTGTCTCTCTCTGGTCAAATTAAAAATAAATGATTGAATAAATAAAATTAAATAAAACAATTGTTTTTTAGAAAAGAAATAATAATATTGGATCATTGGAAAAGTCATGACAAATTTTGTATAGAAAAACAAAGAAAAGTAAACCATGACTTTTCTGATAATCTGATAAATAAAATTAAATAAAAATATTTTAGAATAAAAGAAAACATATTTTTTAATTGCCAACGTGTGTGTTCATACGCCAGAGAGAGAAAAAGAGACAGAGAGAGAGAGGAAGGAGACATCCCTCAGTTGAATGTGGTCACGTCTACAATCTGTTCTCTTCATCCTGTTGGGATTTTGGGGGTATGCTTGTGGTGTCCAACCCACCAGGGCTGGGACTTGAACCATGGACTGCCCTGTGGAATCTTGCTTCCTTAGCCACTAGGCTACATGGCTGGCCCTCCACACTGTAGTATGAAATAGGTCCTTGTCTTTGCTAATTGCTTTGTTCCCAGAGGTGTCTGGCACATAGTAGGTGTTTATCACGAACTGCTGATTGGCTCCCCGGACACTGTCTTGACTCTGAGGAGGATCTAAAGGGGAAAGGGGTCTTCTGCTGGTCTCCAGCCAGGACGAGTGGGCACCATGGAGGATCAAAGGCCCATCCTGGCCACTGTGGGCAACTGGGTGGAGGCTAAGAAGGAAAGGCTTCCCGGGAGAGGTGTCCTGTGAGCTGGGTTTTGAAGGATGTCGAGGGGCTGAGTGTTGATTCCAACACCGGGGTAACAGGGCATCAGGACTACCCCTTGCCTGGAGTTGCCAGGACTTGCATGGGACCAGATCTGGGGCTTAACGACAACAGTGCAGGCATCCCACAAGAGGTTGGGCCCTGGGCAGGTCAGGCAGGGTCAGGCAGGCATCACAGAGCCAGCCGGGCACCGCTTCCTTTGGCCCCCCCAGGCCTGGCTGTGGGGCAAGCCGAAGCTACAGACCAGTGTCTTGGTTTTGCCAGGTCTTGGCTGCACTTCTGGCAGCCACCAGCAGGGGCGCTGTAGGACTGGGGCAGCTGGACTCTACCAGCCAGGCTTGGTGCCAGCAGAACCAGACCGGGGTGCTGGGTGTTCGGGCGTGTGCTGCATTGCTCTTCCAGCTGCCTTTTGGGCTTGTGGGGGTCTGCTCTGTGGCCCCATGCCCGACTGTGAGCGTCGCGAGTATGTCATGTTTTGACCCCGCCGCGAGCTCCTCTCAAAGGGCAGAATGACCATTGTCCCCCTGTGGCCTTGGCCCAGTGTCTCAGGCCCTCTGAGGGGTGCCCTTCCAGGAGGTGTGCCTAGTGCCTGGGGTGAAGACCGCAGGGCGGTGGTCCCGGCAGCCATGTGCTGAGGCCGGCTGTGGGCTGGCCTGCGCTTTCACACAGCCCTGCACTGAAGGCTCACGCCAGCTGTCGGGTGGCAGCTTTCATCACGTCTTCCAGAGGAAGGTGCGGCTCAGAGAAGTTCACAAGGAGTGGTAGGAGTCGCGACGCAGCCTGGACGGCGGGCTCCAGGTCTGTGCGCAGCCCCTCCTGAGAGCCCTTGCAGTCTCCCCGCGAGCCCGGCGATGACACGCCTCGCCTTACTTGGTTCTCAGCACTGCCTGGTCAGGGAGGCCCCATTTTACCGAACAGGAGACCTAGGCCCGGTGGGCTGGGGCTGCTTGCATACGGTCTTTCAGTCGGTCAGTTCCGGAGCGGGATTTGAACCTGGGTGTCTGGCTGCAGAGCCAGGAGGCTGCGGCAGCCCTGAGGGAGCCGGGCCTCTCTTGCGGACTCCCTGGCTGACTCAGAGGAAATGGTTAACAGCCTGACTTCCTGTGCACGGCCCGGCCCCTGCGAGGGGCCAGGCGCCCGGGCTGCGCTCTGCTTCCTCCTGCCAAGCGTGCTCACCACCTCTGCCCCTTCCTGCAGCAACAGCTGGAGGAGGAGGCCGCCAAGCCGCCCGAGCCTGAGAAGCCCGTGTCGCCACCGCCCATCGAGTCCAAGCACCGCAGCCTTGTGCAGATCATCTACGACGAGAACCGGGTAGGCGCCCGCCCCGGCTCTTCCAGGCCTCAGTGTTCCCCTCTGGGAAATGGAACTCCGCCACCATCCAGCCTGTCGGCTGGGCTGTGTGAGTGGGTGGGGGACCCACGTGCTGCAGGGTCGGGTCGCTGTGCTGGCCTGCGGTTGCAGCCTGAAATGCACCTGCTCCAGGGTGTCGGGGCCATCGGGGTCCTCGGGGGAGGGGCACTCGGGCTGCAGACCTTTCTGAACATAGCAGGTGACGCCTTTGCCACTGAGAGTCACAGCCAGCCTCGCCGAGCCCTCCTGTCAGTCCTTCTGCCGCCGTCCTGGGAGGGGAGTTCAGCCGTCGCTTTCCTTCCACATGAGGAGAAACTGCGGCCCAGGGAGGCCCCGCGACTTGTCTAAGGGCACAGAGCTGGGAAGTGGCGGACGTGGTGGGATTCGAACCCGTGGGACAGCAGGATTCTTCCACACTGGCTTTACTGACACTTGGTCCTGGGAGAGCGTCTTTGGAACAGTGGAATTGTGGTGTTTGTAGTGGACCGTAGGGCCCCTGGGAGGGGCTGCCGTGTGTCTGGAGGGTCTGAGTTTTGGCGACAGGCCTGGGGTGTCCACTGTGTCTCCAGGGCTTGAGCAGCTGCGCTGAGCTCTGGTGTCTGGCTGCCACAGACTGGGGTTCAGTGATTCACACGGGCTTTTCCAGATGCGCCCCGGACCAGGGACAGAATCCCCTCCTTATCTTATGGAAGGGAAGCTTAGGCCCAGAGGGGGATTGGTCTTTGTCTGGGGTCACCTAGTGAGGTGTGACAGGTGGGGGCCTCCGCCCACCTCTTCGCTGGCCCCACCTCCCACCTGAGGCCACGGCCACGCCTCCCAGCCGCCTGTTCTGCCCTGGCTGGCTCCGCTCAGCATCCCTGGGCCTGGCCGTCCCTGGGCCTGGCCGGTGCCTGTGGGAGGGAGGCGCTCCTGGCACGTG